TGTGATGCCAATCGACAAGGTCAATTACAAGGATTAATTCCTTGTATCATTTTTACTTCAATTTTTTTCACATGACAGTTTTAATGTCGATAATTTTAGTTCTAAAAATATCAGTATTATAATGTAAGTATGTAGGTAATATTTGTAACAAGCTTTCTAAAACAATGAAAAATAAATATTAGCGCGGTAGCTGAAGTATTTACGTATTCTTTTTCTTATAATTTTCTGCTCTGTTAAATTTGCGACAAAAAATATTCATTGCATTGTCGGAAGTCTGAAAGGTACCAAAAGTAAGTTGGGCCAGTTGAGGCAAGTTGACCATAGTTGTAACAACAAGTTGTTAACTTGCGAACGACTTAAGACTTGTCCGGATATGTTCTGTCACAGTTTGCTACATTGTGCTTGAATGGACTCGGACGCGGTTCGTTCGTGAAAAATTTAATTTAAATTGTTTGCATTTTCACAGTTTGAAATGAGAATATTCTATGCGACGAACAATAAGTAACACTCACTTGGGTTGTGAACATTCGGTAATTTAAATGTGAATATTTTATACATTGAATGAATTAATGAAAGATTCTTAAGTGAACATTAAAAATTACAATGACAACAGAGAATAGTAATGTAAGTATCACAGAGTAAGCTAAAATACAAGGGGCTGCCTTATTGTTAAGTAGCAATTTCTTCCAGACAACCTCAGGATGGAAATTTGCTAGAAGAGGAAATTGAATATACCAGTAAAGGTTTTTTTTAAATTTACTGTTCGAATTTGTATTTATTAACATTTCAAGAAGACAATTTCATATTATTCAACACAAGGTGTCAATCGTATGTAAGTCATAGGATAGTACATCTCTAGCTGTGGTGTTTGTTATTAACAGTGATCGGAATTGAGGGACTTCATTTACTTAAAGTATGAACGTTTTCGTAATATGGTTACATCCATTTCGTCACCAATGCGTATAAAATTTCTATTTTACTGTTTATTTTCTAAACATTCCTAAATATAGTTTGTCTCACGTTTATTTTTTAAACGGTTAAAGTATTTAAATACGTAAGTACCTATAGAAACCCAACTACAATATTATTTTTTGAGACAACAATTTGTAGCAAATATTTAATAGGTTTGTCGCTAATCTACTCAAATTTTAACAAATAATACGCATGTTCAAATATAATCAGTTCCGAAAACTCCCGGGATTTATAAAAGGAAATGTTCACGCTCTTCTTTCGTTTAGTTAAATTAACGCCCTCAATTCCGATCACTGGTTATTAATTATAATTCTGAATGTTATAACTGCCGAGGCAAAAATGTAATACATTATAAACACATTTCTCAAATACAGGTACTACATTAAAACAATGACATGAGCAATGAACATATCTTAGGTACAGTCAAGATCACGACAAGCTTGACACTTTAGATTTTGGACCGTTCGAAGTGAAACAGAGCAAATGAGTAACAGTTGACACATTTGTCAATGAGATTCACACGACCGCGTTGGAATTCTGCAAACGAGCTATAAATAGTCGTCTTGCATGGTGCTTCATTACCAAAAGCAGTTTATAGCCGAGCGAAACTCCGCTGAGCGGTTAAATTACACTTAAAGTCGTAAAAAATCATACTACAAAAATTTTCACGAGTTAAATCCATGGTGATATAGACAACCAATTTCTAAAATGACGCCACAATGTAAAAACAAGTGACAGTCAGATGAAACAAACTGTATTCTGCAGCCAAAGAGTTCCATTTTCAAATGTTGTAATTACTTTTTAAATATTGTTTGTGTAAATCGCCAGTTCCGGAAACTTATAGTGCGCCCTATGTACAAATTAAAGTTCGTAACCCGTCGTACAGGAAGTTTAAAACAAGCGAATATTTTTAAATCCATTGCCATTCAAATTCAATTAATATTTCGTCTGTCAATAGAAGCAAACTACCAAGAGTCAATACGGTGACGTGATTGCTATTTATTACACTGCTAACACTAGATCTTAGTTCGTCCAGGGAAGAACTGACACCTTACCTATTTCTGCTGTCAAGTAGAAACGTGAGCATTACTGCGTTCCAGTTTTGAATGGTAAGGGTGCTGGTAAAATTACTGGCACAAAGGACTTGACAACTTATGTCACAGGGTGATAGGCGCAGTGGCAGAGTCTCTCAGATCTTTGCGATTTAAAGCTCTGAGTGGCACTGTAACTACTATGGACAGGCGTGTCGCTTATTCTTAGGGTTCCCCGGTTGCCACATATTGGAAATTAAACTATTTTATTTACAGGTCTCATAATCCCGGCTTATTATGTGACTGTGTGATATAATCAACCGTTACCATAGGAGCTACAATGAGTCTGTAACGTTGTGTTATTAGAAAAAACAAAAAGTGTTTAATGTCATCTTTATAAAAATATTTGTGATACGTAAAAACAAAAATCAAGCCTTTTAAATTATTACGTACTATATTGATAATCAATATCGTCCGTCAAATAATTAGATGATCAAGATTTTGATCCTTTATGTAAAAATATTGAAGTTTTTGTAGTTTAACATTGGAATTTTTAATTTATTTATTTTAATTTTTATTTTTTATTTTATTTATATTAATTTAATTAACATTAATTTATTGCCAAATTTCGTGTTTTTTAATTATGAGAACATAATAGGATATTTTTATTATTGAAATCGAATACAACTCAATGAGATACTTTGTTCTTGTATCTATTGAAACAAACAAACAGACGTTAAAATTTATTATAATTCAGGCAGCAGCTCCAACTTTGAAATTACATATTTCTATTACAAAAGAAGTAGTATTTATACAATTTTAATCGAAAGTCGACATAGCGACAAGCAATCTGATACCAAGTCACATAAGAAAACAGATATCACAAATAATGAGGATTTCTTGTCACGATGACGAAGACGCGGCAAAGGCGTTACCGAATGCGCACTAACCAAGACAAATGATTGCACGAGCCAAAAACTTCTATTCAGTTCTAACATCCTTTCTAATATAAGATTAAAGGTTGAATTCAGCATGAACCTTCGGCAAAGTTAAGTTTGTTTTTCTTGTCAAAAATGTACTGAATAATGTTTGAACCAATTGTCGGATAAGCGAAGATGATCGGTTCCTTAATAGGTATTTTCAAATCCTTTACTTGTTTTGCAAAGTCGTAATATACGAGTAATATGCGTAGACATATTATACATATACAAGATGTAATTGACAGCTTTGTTAAAAATGAGTATTTTACATACAATTTGTAGATTTCCCATCAGATACCGTCATCTACCCATTTATATGTCCCACTGCTGGGCACAGGTCTCCTCTCAGGCAAGGTTTTAGGCCATAGTCCGCCACACTGGCCCAACGCGGGTTGGGGATTTCACACATTTTCCGAGGGTTGTGAACCTCGTTCGACATGTAGGTTCTTTACGATGTTTTCTTTCGCTGAAAAGTTCATGGTAAATTTCTAATTAAATTTCGCACATCCATTATGAAAAACAGTAGGTGTAGATATTTTTGTTCTTGCGATACAAACAACTATTGCTTCCTTGGTGTCTTCAATATGTTACTTTAATGTTAGTAACATTTAAACTGCTAGGATTATCTTACCATTATGGAAATGTTGGACAGTCACTACGATCAACAATATTATTATTATGTATGAAGGTTTACAGATCAATACACTCGCTTAGTTCATTAGGGTGGGATAGCCAAATTCGGTAGATTTGTCTTAGAATCTGTCTCATTTACTCGCCATATTCCCGGTCATAAACCATGGGAGTTGGACAACGATATTGCACTGTCTCTCTCACCTAATCAGTGACGTACGCACGTGACGCATACGCATTTCCGTTATCGATAAAAACAAATCGGTGCGATACTTTTCGAGTAATTTCTTACCTGATATTGTCTAAATGTCGCAACCTTTTTTGTTTTTAACACCATGGGTAGTTTTTATAAAAACCATATTTTACCTGTCGGAGCTAATACAACGGCTCAGGCACGTATTATTATCAATAACTTGCTATGTAAATTATTTTTTGTTTCTATTCCAACTTTCACTATACAACGTTACAGATTGAACATTATATATATCGATAACATTCATTGACTGCAGTAATGCACGACTCAGCGCTTAAACAAAAGGCTAGTACCTACTCGTAAGTGGAAGAAAAAGAGCAATATCGCTGTCGCGTTCCAATAATTTATGACTGAGTCTGCAGCGAGTAAATAATCTTACTATAGAACCCTATACTTTTAAGTTAGCTTAGTAGCAGTAGAGCTCCTTGTGAAAGAGATCGTCCAGGGAAGTACTGAGCCGAAAGTAAATGATTATTATCACTTCGTTTTGAATAACGACATTAAATATTTCTTGCTCATTGTTCTCGTAGGAATCTGCCTCACGAATGTGAGAATACGTATTTTATTACCTGTATGACAAAGATCTTTTGAATTATGAATTAATTAGTATGTCAATTTATTCAAGATGAGTAAGCGTACTTCGGTGCAATTTAATTCAAGTTCGTTACTATAATCACAGATCAAATAAAACTGTATTATTTATTCCGTGATACGTCGATTCTATTTATTTTAAGCGATATCAGACGCGCCTTCCAGCAGCGCAGCGATACAAACGCGCGTTTGTCAAACACGCCATTGCATCGCGACACTTACGGTTTATAGGCGGTTACATCGACGAAGTTTAAGTTGAATAATTAAAAACGTGCACCGCGATTGTGTCGCTGCTCAAATCACGCGTGTGTGTAAAGGTAGACGATTAGCGACTGCATCGCGACTGAATCGCCACAGACGCGCTGCATAACTTACTGTGTGTCACCGTTCTTATAGACCTACACGTACGTTTATTTCAATATAGTGACGTTTTGGGGAGTTTTTTTAGACTGAAGATCTTTGAGAAATTATACTGGAGGGACAGTAAATCCAATGTATAACAAAATAATAAGTCCGATATTTAATTCTTACAAATCTAACAAATCACGTATATTTTTCAGGTAAGGGTACATGAACTAACTCATTATAAGGTACTGCAAGGAAGAATTTCTCAATATTATTTATAGCTAATTCGACGGCATAATCCATAATAGGTTTTCCAAATTCTTCAGCGACAGTCTTCCAATTGTCATTTAGAAATGCCAACACAGCATCACCTGGTAAAATAAGTACGAGTTACATTAATAAAACACCACTAGGAAAACAAATACTTATCAAATCACTCGGTAAACATAGGGCGCACTGTAAGTTTCCAGAACTGGCCACTTATATAAACAATAGGTATTTAAAAAGTAATTAGCACAATTGAAAATGGAATCTTTGGCTATAGACATGTGACATACCATGAGATTTGGGCATCTTTAGGCATAGGCATGAGTCAAATACAATCAATACTACAAAAAAAAAATGGGTGAGAAAAAGCTGTGCTCTCGGTGGATCCCGTACAATTTGACTGAGGCTCAAAAAACGGATCGCGTCACTTGGTGCAATGCCATGCTTACCAGATTCAACGTAGCGGCGTCAAATTTGGTGTGGGACAAACTGACAGGTGACGAAACATGGATTTACAGTTACGATCCCAAAACAAAGCTGCAATCGGGTGTATAAGTTTTTCGAGAAGAGCCGAAACCAACCAAAGTGGCGCGCGTGCAAAGTGCCTCTAAGCGGATGATTGCTTCCTTTTTTAATAAAATTGGGCACGTGGCTACTATTGCTTTGGAGAATCGTTGTACCGTGACTAGTGATTGGTACACGACTATTTGTTTGTCGTAAGTTATTGACAAATTCCTTAAAAATAAACGTAAATGCCGTAGCATCTTGCACCACGGTAATACCAATTCTCACATGGCCAAACAGACCAATGAATTTTTGAAGGTGAACAATGTTGACCTTATGAGCCATCACAGTCCCGACGTGGCACCTTGTGACTTTTATTTATTTCCAAAACTTAAGAACCAGTTACACGGTCAACGATTTTCATCACCTGAAGAGGCTGTCGAAGAGTATGAAAAATATGTTTCAGATATTGTCACGGAGAAGTGACATAAATGTTTTCAAAATTGGTTTCTTTCGCATGAAAAAGTGCATTAACGCTAGCGGAGAATATTTTGAGAAACAATAATAAATTAATTTATGACCATTTATAGTATTTTTTTCCGATTCATTCCGGAAACTTATAGTGCGCCCCATGTAACACAAAAATAGCAGATTAGAAAAGTTTGCATTCCTAGTACTTAAGTATAGTATAAGATTTGTATAGATATCGTAAATATAATACGGTATGATCATGCATTTTTTAAAACCTATGTTTGTTTTTGCGATATTTTAGTCGTGGTAACGTTTTAGTGGTAGTAGTTTTGGCGATATTTTAGTCCTGGTAACTTACTTAACTACTAAACGACCGTCCCGCTATGAAAGCCATACAAAGATTTCAAAGAGGCTCTTTTATAAAATTTATTTAAAACTTACTTAGCTCTTTGCTTTCCCTAAATAGATTCTTCAAATCAAAAGAGACATGGTCGCCATAGTCGAAAGTATATTTGTAATTCCTTAGAGCAAAGTGGTCAGCACCGTCCGCGTCTTTGATGTATTTGGTATTTATATCCACATTCATGCGAAGATTTGCTGAAAGAAAATAAAAGTTTAATTTGTGAAATTATCTAAATTGAAATGAAAAACTGTCGCTTTGCCGTTGTAAAGACAAAATATCTTTCTTACAAAACATAAAGCGATACATTCCTCAGAAGACGTTTTGTAATACACAGTTGTCAAACAACAGAAAATCGGCATGTTTTTGTCGTTTCAGAATTTCCCTTGTTCGCCTTCTGATGAAGTTTATGAACTTATCCTCGTTATATCTATTTATATGTATCATGGTAGATTGTACGATAAGGATTTTATATTCTGATTCTCTGCTGCCCGGGGTTGCTACAAATATGCTGCGTCAAAAACACGTCGCAATCTGCCTATATTTTCCTATATTTGTGAGAAAATATTTTCTGCGGGCGGCTGTTTGAGAAGTAGTTTCCTGAGACCAACTTTATTAAATGTTATCAATTTCTGTATTGTGTCTTCGATAATTTTATTCCAACTTTTGATTTGCTTGTCATTATTATTTAACAATAAAACATCTTGATTGGTACGCCAAAAACTGTCAATTGTTCGTTGTGTTGTAGCTATACTTTGTTGTAATTAGGGACTAAATAAATAAGACCTTTTTAATTTAAAATTCAGATAAGAAATATTTTAGCGCATTTGTGCTTAGGCATCTAAATTTAAAATTGTGGGCATCATTTGTTTGTTTATATTTTGTTAATTTTCGATTAGCTTTGAAATAAAATATGCTAAATTGCTGAAGTTCTTTTTTTTAATACAAGTTTCAACTATATTGCGTAAGCAGATGTAACTAACCCCCATGTGGAAATTTAGTTATAAAGTACGGTTTGTCAAACAATCTTCACCGCTAGTTTTATACGATAAGGTCAAGCGTATATTGTTGATCAAACCATCTACACTTTTCATGAGTTACAAATCGAACCTCATCGCCACCCGTCATGGTCTTAGTATATTTGAAGTGTAATAGGGTTCTAGTTTATTATCTTTAATTTCTGCGTAATGGGTTCTGTTGAGTAGACCGATTCCAATATTTGAAGTTTGTACTTAAAAAAAGACTGACGGATAGACAAGTTCAGGGTCGGCAAATCGAGTCTTATTTGTTTCAGGTAGATACCGCAAAAGTTAAAAAGCTACAAGCTAAAAGGTGTACCGCTTTGTTGAGTGCTTTATTGGTTGTAACGTAGTTTCGTATCTTCGAAACAACTTTGCTAATAAGCTGCTTCGTGTCTGGGCAGGTCTTTTAGCACATAGATTTCCTCTTGTAATTTCTGAACAGCCAAAGTGTAACTCTAGAGTTTCCATTATCTCATTGGCTGGGAGTTACGTGCTTAAAAGCGCATCGTCAATTACTAGAGCTTCGCATTGTACTCAGCATCGGAATATGGAGATGAGTTCATTGTTGGTTTAAGTAACTTTAATCTCCGTAACGGCAGCTTCGAACGAAAGCCAGTCACTAACGCTTCCAATGTAGTACAGTGATTCCTTTGGTTCGAGGGGACGTCTCAGGCTTGTAATTTCTCGTGCTAGGAGCCGTATGTAAGTGGGTTCAAGGTGTGTGCATTTCTCTTTCAATGTTTCATATTTCTGTTTCACATTTTACTTAGCGCGGCTTCGACTCGACCGGCTCACTTTAGAGCGTCTTTTCTCGCACGTGTTACGACGTGCTAACTCCACTTGTAGTTTTTTCTACTATGGTTTTTTCACTTTGCAGTTGCACTTTGCGCCAATTATTTCATCGCTTCTACCAACTGTTTCGTAGCCGCTAGCTCGACCTCTCTTTCTTTACTAGTGTATTAACTGTACAATTTTTATCTTGACGAAACGGGTACGACATTTATTGCTATTCTGGGTTTGGCATAGATGGTACGGGTTTTGATTCTTGGCGAAACTGCGTGTTACCTGGGACATGATTAGGTTCGGACTTATTAAGCGATGTTTGTTTATAATGGTACTTATGACAATGAATCTTCCTTAATATTGAAATCTTATTCCTTTATCATTTCAAACAATATTCTTCTTCTTAATTCACAATGGCTTCTTCTCAATGGCTCCTTTCGTGCACCGAAACAATTTTCTTTTGGATTTTCTGTAATTGTTTGTATTTTTAATACACACACGGGCATTAGTAACAGTTTACCATAGATTAAAGTTTTATTAAATAAATGAAAGTATTTCAACTGATATTTACGAAAGTTACAAGAACACAAAATCAAACTTTTTATAAAACATAGTGTTCTGCGAAATTGTACTAGCGTGCACACATTAAACAAATTTGTTAGGTAATAATTATCACACTAGGATCCAATCACCTGTTTGTACAAGTATTGTTTATTACACTGTTCACGTTGATACTATGATTTGAAATGTATTTTGATTATATACCTCGATTACCGCTACCGGTTGCTTAGAAATACACAGTGAAAACGCATACACCTTAACAATAATGAAAATTGTAAGATCCAGTTGTTTTGATTCCACTACCGGTGTTTACAAGACGACACGGTATCTTAAAGACTATTTATCTTCTTCCGGACTGTGACTTGCTGGTGAACAGATTTCTTTTCCATTTACCTTGATTTTTCCTTAGGTGCATACGTACTATTGAAAACGAATGTGCCTACATTAATTTGAAACAGAGTAACTCGTGGGTGTAGAACATTTTAGGCTTCTTCTCGAAAGCCTATTTAAAAAAGCATGATCATAATTCGCTCGTGGTGAAAGAGATTAATTTCCTAAATGTAAATTATACAGAGATGCCGACGACATAAACCACAGAGACTATGAGGTGGCAGTCAGATAGGTTTTAACCTAGGGTTAAAAGACTTTGATGTTATCGGAGAAATCAAATGCCTAAGACTCCGCTGGCTACTAGTAGGTCAACAATTGGTCCTTGTCAAACACCCATGGAGGGACGAAGTGGAGACAGATCTCTACGCCCTGCCCGCAGAGAATTGAGAAGACCGGGCACAGTGGTGCCAACTTGTATCGGAGGACAAACCCTTCGGGTCGCTGAGCAAGCGGTAGTAATAAGTAAAAGACTTTGACTCAAATTAGTCGTCAGTTTTGTCTTATGACTAAAGTCTTAAGGGTTAAAAGTCTATTTAATAGGCCTTAAAAAACCGAGTCTCTTTCATCATTATAACAAACCTAATAAGTTTCAACTAAGGATAGTAACTTACTCAATTTGATTTTAGCGTCTCCTTTACCGTTGATTGGGAAAAGCAGAATTCTTCCGATGGCATCGTATTGTCCTTTGATTGTCAAATTGCAATGAAACGCTAGGACAAAGTGACGTTTCTCCAATTCTGAACTGAAATCGAAAGAAATCAGAACATATAGGCGGTTTCTAAAATGTCTATCTCCTTGATATATTACAACATTAAATATTAATATTAAAGGCTACTATTCAGTCACCTTTATTAATTAATTAAAGATGTTATATGCGTGTTAAATGTTTTAGTAGTCTCTAAAATCATGCATAGCATTCACAATCAAGCATTGTTTTTTTTGTGGTCAAATGCAACAATTAATTATTATGCAAGAACGTCAACAATGCAACCGGTATTTAAACATTTTTGATACGAAACCATCAATTGTGAATCCAAAGTAGTGATTAACATGAAACATCCGAAGTCCTCGTCGTCAGCGTTTCCAGGAAAGGAACAATCTCTTGCTCAATTAAGTATGTTAATCATGTGAAATATAGTTGCTAAGGTAGATGTGACGTTGAATTTAATAGTAATAGTAATAACGTACACACTCATTGCCCCGCACTAGGGAAATCCTGTATCATGGGTGTCATGGACGCACATAGACAACCAAAACTTACACCCAAACGCACGAGAAAAATAAATGTAGGCCACACAAATATTTCTCCTGGCCAGGGAGTCGAAACCGGTACCTCTGCGTGGCAGACCAGCATGTAACCGTTTGGCCACCGACACAGTTAAAAAATTGCTATAAAAATATTTTAGATGCAGTAGTCTAAAAAAGGTTATTTCAATATAGTCCGAGAATACTGCGATAAACATGTTAATTTGTTTACAACCAGTAGGTACAACTAAAATAATAGTGTAACAACCCTACGGTTAGAGCGAAGTGTAGGCATTTACGCGCCGAACAGGTAGGAGTTGCCCTACTTGATGTTATTATACTATGTTATTTCCTCATTTCCTATTAGAACGATCCAGATAGAAGTTTTATATACAGCTCTTAATGCCAATATGTTTCGCCTTGAATTTTTTATCTGACTTGTGAGTCTGAGTGGTATAAGTGTAGACACGTGGAGTAATTACAGTTATCTATTTTAAATGTACTTTATATTAAAGTAACATCAAGTTGTTTTGTAGCAAGTAAGTAATGTGACGAAATTAGCGGCTAAGCGGTTAGTAATATGGGTTTCATGTAGGAGCCCGGGGTCTATTCTGGTTGATTCCGATTTAGACGAATTTTTTTAAAATGCTTGTTGTCTGGATGTTCTAGGTATTGTCCTGGAATCAACACCAAGATTAACAAAGTCTGGTAATTATTTGGCACAATTCGACCTCTCCTGCGTAAAGGTCGTAAGTTCAAGTTCACAACATTACATGGTAATGTTTTAAAGGATTGTAATGTATTGAAAGGACTAAAAAGAGCCCAATAGGTACGGTTCTTGAGGTATTTTGATTAAATTTGATGCATCAAAATAATTATTCTCCATCATCGAATACATTTACGGATGTGTATGTATACACTTTATTGCACAACAAAACAAATTTCAAATTTTTACAAAGAATTAAAACGTTAGTGTACAAAGGCTAGCTTATATATTTTAACCTTCGAATAATTGAAAGGAGGCTTCGTACTCTTGGTTCCTAAATATTCTTCCACTGATGTTCACTGGTTCTTGCTTTCTAATTTTACCTAAAATTAACTGAATATGATAAGATTATGTTTACGAACAAACTAACGTATACGCGTGAACTGGCTTAGTATAATAGAGCTACAAAAATTTACGAAAAAATGCACCTGTTTTTGTGGTGGACGAGTCGATTTATTGATCGTAATTATTAAAGTATTATTTTAGAATACATCAAGTTGTATATTTAAACTTTTAGCTGATGTTTTATATATAATTCATTAATCGAGGTTTTTAAATATTAGATATTAGACAACATCACATACGTTGCTCTGATCCTAAAGTAAATTAGTTAAATAAAGCACTTGTGTTATGGAATTCGGAAACAACGACGGTTCTACAAACACCCTATGCAAACACTCAGACCCGAGACAATATGGAAAATATAGTTTTCCTACGTAGACCTCAGAGATGGCGACTCTATGAACCAAGTTCAAGACGCTCCATTACGGAGGACGTCGTTTTTGGTATTTCGTTACTTGAATACATCCGGATTTTTTTTTTTCAAAAAAACAGAGGAAACTCTCACATAACATTATCCACGATGCACTTTCTAAATCCTGATACTTTTCCTTGATAGAATGTGACGTTAATCCCGCTCAGGGGAATTGTTAACTTCTCAATGACAAACGGGTCCAAACTTGGCACTCCTAAATTAGGAATACCCTTGACAAAGTCAGGTATCGCTTCTTGAGTTGACTCAATTAGACAGGATTTCCAGTTGCCAGCATTACATGGATGAATGAAGTCGGCTGAAAGCAAAACATCAAGTCATTTTCAAGTGAAATCACGTAACTACCCGCACAGTGTCTGTAAAGCTACTAAACACTAAAGCAATGAACAAACAAACAGAAACCGCACCTTTGGTGGAATAAGGCGACATCTACAAAATAACAAATTTTCAGGAGAGCGTTTTAATGATTCTATCAACCAAATTCTTCAATAACTTTTGTATGTTTGTTTCGTAAACTCTTTTTTCCCTTAATAGTTTCGTAAACTACTACTGTAGAGTGAGTACTTTGTCGTACTGACGACGTCATAAAATTGAGTAGAAACTTCCAGATTCGGTGCTTCAGGTTTTATTTAAAAAGTATACAAGGTGCCAGGTCAATTCTAACCGGCGGTACTAGTACAAATGAAAAAATATACAAAGGTAACTAACAGATGGGTCCAGGCAGTCGTTTTGCACGAGGAGTCAAGTCTTAGATACTTATCAAAAGTACTGATGTTTCATACTTAAACAATATTGGGTTAAAGTAGTCACCAATAGCGATTCGAGGGAAAATCTTAACACCGCGATTAAGTAAAAAGGGTCAGTGCCATCTAGCGGATTTTTTGGGAAGTATATGATAAACAAAGTTGATTAGAAAAGTCTAAATAGGTTTAAAATAGGTTTGTTCACTACTTCTTTTTGTTAATTGGCTTTTTGCAAAATTTGACGCTCAAGTTTTTCAAAATAATGTATAAAAATCTTGGAGAAATGTCAAGTTAAACTATTTTTTAACAAATTTACCTTTTTTAAATTTGTCATTTTAATTTTTCAGCTATTGTTCTTAAATTCTTTTCGCTACAGGAAAAGGCAAAGGCTTAAAAACATACACCTAAGTCTTGATGAATTTTTCTTTTGATAGTTTTAGCGAAGTTGTTATTGTTTTGTTGTTTTAAAATTCTTTCCGTTAAGGGAAAAACAAAGACTCAGAACCATACAGCCATGGTTTGGTGAATTTTTATTTTCCTAGTTTTAGATAGATATTGATATGATATATATATATATATATACACATATACATATACATATATATATATATATTACAGGCATTAAGCCTCGTCTTCTGTGGGTCTAGACACGCATTCGCCAATATGAAAGTATGGAGATTACGAGATTCTTACTATTATGCAGAGTTATTTGTAAAATACTAACAATATCATCAACAAGAACTTTTGTTTAACGACTTTTTACAAAAAGTAATCAATTTACCAAAAATAGACATTCAAGTTTTTATTCCACTATCTGACTGATTTTTTAGATCTGTACTTGGTTGTAAAGTAGAAAGTAAAATCTGATGAATAATTAAAAGTCATGGAACAAAAGTTGTCGTTAATAATACAGCCCTGCGGGGTTGCTAGTATTTTACATTTCACCCTGTATTTTAATAATAAAGAAATATTTTTATCATCGAGATGCTACTCGATTCGCGTAACAACAAAGTTTTCTCACACCTTTCGTTGAATGTATATGTATGTATGAAACAGCAATTTTATTCTCGTTAAGCGAAGCGTTGGTTTCTTAACTGGATAACCTTTTACAGTCTTTCCCCATAACCAAAGAAACCCCAAAGTGAAGAAACTCTATACCTTCTCTTTTTCACCTTCATATCATCTGGCCTACAAATATACACTCTTACATGTACAATAATAAGTACGTTCGTACTAATCATAAGGACACATACTCAGTACGTAACAAATAAACAATGAAATAGTGATGTCAACAGCCGATGTATTGTGCGAAAATAAATATGGTTCGTTGTTGACCTTTAAAAACGATTAATTATAAGCAGCTAATGTCTAGACCTCCTTATACGTAAAATCTTTTGAAAATTTGAATAGAACTTATTTGCAAACCATTTTAAGACATCTTCCTGTTTAAGACACCTGTGTTTATATTTATAGAGGGCAAACATTATCTTACCACAATGGGTTAAAATACAGACAAATAATGACGTTATTGTTTTTGTTCATGTCAAGGATTGGTGCATTGGTTTTTGTTTTATGCCTTATAAAAGACGCAAAATTGTAAGATATACTTTAATAAGCAGTCTGTTATTACGGATAAGGCGGATTGATCACCAACTTTAATTGGCTAAAGCTTGTATTATCCGTGGGGTAAGGCGCTGTATGCTGAGATACAGGTTAACCCCTATTTCGGCTGTAGAGGCTTACATAAATAGCACTGTACAATTTTTCTTAGCCTTATTTTATATTTGATTATTTTGTATACAGTCTGTACATTTTTGTTTATAGAAAATAAACACTTATTTATTATTATTTATTTATTATTATTAAGGTGGCTTCATTCGGAGCCTATGCAGCCCCTCATCACTGCGACCATCAACTGATCTATTGTGATGAACACTAGTTACATTTCAGAGCCAAAGCCAACAGCATTAGAGAACTCAAGGACTTATCTAGCTCCGACAGTTTTTATTTATTTTTTTATAACACCAAACGACAGGAAGAACACGTCGTGTGCCTGGTTTTAAGCAACACGCCTATCCATTGCAGTTGCAGTACCACTCAGAGCTTTAAATCGCAAAGATCTGGGGAACACTGCGACTGCGCCTGTCACCATGAGACATAAGTTGATAAGTCCCATGTAATTTCTTGCCTGTAATTTCACCAGCAACCTTATCATTCAAAACCAAAATACAGTAACGCTTACATTACTGCTTGGCGTTAGGAATAGGAATAGGTAGTGCTTGTCCCCGGCAGTCGGACATATAATGAGTTGATGATGACGATGATGATGAGTTCCATATATGTAAAGTAGCGTAAGCCTAAATTCACACCTTTAAAGGAGAACATTTTAATATATCGAAAGTAATAGTTGCGATTCTCGAGGTATTGCAATGAAATCTAAAACATTCCCACTTTTTTGTATGCTTTATAATTTCACTGCTGAGTATAATGGACCTACATAAAGAAGAGATTTATGAGAAAATATACTTAGGTGTATTCTGTTGCTAACGTTAGGTAGGAAGAGTCGATAATGCATGCTGCTTTCTGGCCCAGTGTTGGTTGAGAATTTCACATGTGAATCTTCTCCGATCGCATTTAAAAATCAATACAGTTTACAAATTTCGATAAAAAAAAAAATTAAATTTTTAGAAACTTTAATTACCATTTTTCAAACGTTGACTTTTCTTAGTGACAGTATTGATTTCAACGTGAAATATACTACTACGTTTTTTTATCGACACGGGTTTTACCCTAATTAGGTATTAGCAAATTGAATTAGACGACATTCAGTAGATATTATATCGTACTTTTGGCATAATAAAGCCACATCATACATCAAAAGTGCTTTTATATTGTGAAAGTCATAAAAATAATACGAAATAATGCGATAATAATATGAAAAAAAATATATGTATAATTGAGATTTATCTCTCCTATATAAGCATAAAAAAGTTATAATATAATAAATAAAAACTTATCGTATATCCTTTAAACCTCTATCCAGAAAAGTTGTAATTTTGCAGATGTAGCCTTATTACACCCAGGGTGCGATATAAAGATTTTCTTTAGTTCTGTTGTAATTAGAAAGTAGCTGGGCTGTATGTAAGTATGTGGTTGGGCTCTTTTAGCTTACGTTTTTCACTCACGTGTAATTTTGAACTATTTAATAAGAATGTGATAAACCACGCCAGAGTCATATGTGCTCTAAAGAAGAAATCCGACTTTGGCGATGTTTCGAATACGTATTCATAATATTATCTGTAGGTAATATAGTGCAGACTCGATGTAGAGCATACAAGTCAAGGCAAGTGAACGCTACTAAATAATATATATATTAATAAATAAAAAGGGCTTTACGGAGGGAAGGTCCCAAGATATCTACCCCCATGATGACCTTTAGGTTCTGAGAGCCTTATTGGTTGAAATGAGCATTCTGTATTTAAGTAAGTGTGCGTTTTTTTATATAATAACGCACACACTCAACATACCCCGTACCAGAGAAACCCTGCGTCGCGAGTGCTATGGACATAGCACACCACAAATTACACCCAAACTCACGAGAGAAATAAATGTAGGTCATACAAATATTTCTCCGGGCCGGGAATCAAATTGACTTAAAAAGTTTCCAAAAACATTATACACTAACGATGTCATAATAAAATGAATTTTAAGGCTCACAGATTGATTGTTTGTTTAACAATTTTTGTCACACTTATCTATCTAGCACCAAATGGTCGGTAAGTGGCTCAGGTATCAAAGGGGCGTCGACTATACTTTAAATATTATGGATATGAAATTTTGAAATGGAAACTTTAAAAATAAGTAATACAACACTCGAAAAAATTTTAAAAAGTTGCTTGTCTCATCTGGGAATCAAGCTGACAAAATGTGAAAAGAAACCCTTTTTTGTGACGCCCATCGAACGTATCCAGGATGCTGTTAGGACTAGAACGCAGTGTAGAGAGTAATGACGCCGTCTTTTTTCAAATTACAGCAAAAAAAGGCATCTACTTCCGCTTGGGCAAATATCGACGATACCTACAGTGTGACGGTAGTTCCAACAGTATCCTGAATTCGTTATTATATTGTATTGAACGCGCTGGTCGCCGAGTTCCTTCTGCGTATAGTTAATCCATAGACCACCCCAGTACATGGATTGACAATATGCCTTAATCTTCTTCTTGTGACCTATGTTACTATATACTATATTACTATACTATGTTACATTATCATGTGAAGGTTTGCTATTTATGCTTTCTTTGTGTTTTTTATGGCTTGTTCAATGTCTATTAGTGGTTGTTTATATACATTGACGTATTTTATTTTACGACTGTTTACAGGGTCATTTTATTCATCAATACAAATTACTATTACTAGGGAATTCTCCTTTAAAGTTGTCACTTTTTCATTGCAAAATATTTAGAGCAACTCGATGGAAACGGTGGGATAGCTGCATTCGCGATTTGATGGGGACAATTGCACCTTTTATAGTTCTTATAAAAAACATGTCAAAACGTTTACATATTCATTGTAAACATATAACTAACGAGGCTTGTTTCCTATCTACGGTGGAGTCGGCCTCGGCCTGCGGCGCGTGGTCGGGCTTAGATTGCGGGGTGTGCTTGTGCTGCGTGATGCGCCATACCTGGAGCCCGATCAGCCAGCGGTAATGAATGGTATGTTCCCGATTTGGGTCAATATATGAAACGAACATTTTTAAGTTGGTCCTGGACAGGGTATTCTGGGTATTGCCCTCAGAGTTACGGAAACTCTTTAGCAAATGTGTCTTCTGCTTTATGTTACAATTGGACTTAATAATACGCAAATGCACCATCACCTCAAACTTGTATGAACAAGTTTCATTTTTGCTACAGAAATAATAATACTTTTTTTTTCATATATAACTAAGAGTTGAATAAAAAATATTCCCATTGCTATAGTAATACATTGTTGTAAAAAACGTGTTGTAAAACAGTAGCCCCCAATAAAGAGATGAGTATGGGTAGTTAATTACGAGAAATTCAGAATAATACAGTTCAGACTTTTTTTATTATTACAATATTTTTTCATCCCGATGACCCCGATGGTCCAAAGATTTGTACTATGTATGCTGGATAGGGAAGTCCCGGGTTTGACTTCCGACAGGACCAATTTCCGAAATTAACTTTTCTAACTTGATGCTGGTATTCATAGTATACGGAATTCCCTGGTTGAGATCAGGTACTTACCTAGCACATTATTTTAAAAAAAATTCAAGAGATTTGAGCGAAGCAAAAGTGACACTTTTTTCATTTTTTTTATACTACCAAGTGACGGGACAAACAAGTCTGCTAACCTGGTGATAAAACAGGCACAGTGTCACTCAGAGATTTACATCGCAAAGATCTTAGGGGCACTGCCACTGCGCATGTCACCTTGAGACATCAGTTGACAGGTCCTATGTGCCTGTTATTTCACCAACACCCTTACCCTTCCAAACCGGAACGCTCGATAATGCTCACATTACTGCTTGGCGTTCCTTATAGTATGTGTGAATTATAAAACATTGAAGTTACATAGTTTTGGTCATACGCTTTTAGCAAATCAACACTAATACTTCGCTCAGTTGAGTATTAAACAGAAAGATTTTTGGGCCTTTTATCAGCCATTTTGTAAGCAAAGTAATTTAATAAATACCGTGAAACAAAATTCTCAAACATATTTACTATCTTTATGTAATTATTATATATTTTTTAATCGTAATATTCAACAAACATTAAAAGAAAATTTTCTATAATAAAGATATATATGTAAACATCTATTTCAAAGACTAGCACTGTAAAAACTTAAAGAAACAAAGGCTCCAAATATTAAACGAACACTTTTCTAAAATAACAACATTATCCTGTCATTTATAAATGTCATGTTTAGTTGTTATCATTTGTCACGATTTTTCCTTTATTAGAATGTCTTGTCTGAACAAAATAGTTTAGGATCATTGCTTTTTTGTTTACAGTTATTCTAATTCTAAAAAAACAAGTTTAGTTTTTAGGGTTGCATAGTCCAACTCGGAGCCTTTTAGTTTCGTTAAGTTTGTTTGTTTGTATGGGACAATAATTTTTTTTTTCGAAAAAAAAGATGAACGATTTTTTTAAAATATTGTACTCGATAAAGACCAATTGACCAGCTTGGTCTCAAATTAGTGAATTCCTGGACTATGAGTACCAGAGGAACTGTATTCACTCTGGGGCACTTACCAGAACACCCAGACCAGAACCAATGTAGAGCAATTCATTTCGCAATTCGGCCCTACCGGGAATCGAACCCAGAGCTCCACATCCAGTGCCCACAGTGTACGCCTTGAGGCAACCGAGGTCGTCATTTTATTAAAGTGTAGTTGTTCAGATATTTCAAAATGCAATATATGTCGTATCACTGCTCATTATTAAGGCAGATTCCCCTGAGAATAATGAAAAAGAAACTCTACGGGTTGCTCTTTGTAACTATACATTTGACTAGTTTTATCATTGCAATATTTAATGTCAGCATTACCGAGTTCCAGTTTTAAAAGGTAAAAGTACGCTGGTGAAATTACAAGCACATGGCACTTGTATACTTATGTCTCAGGGTGATGGGTGCTGTGGCAGTGACCATCGTGTATTCGTGATATAAAGCACTGCGTTCCATCGCTTGGTATCATAAAAAGAGACATTAGGACCCAAGTATGCTAAACGCTCCAGTCTCCAGGTAAACGCCGTCAAAGTAAGTTTTAGAACATCACCCTATAATTAATTAACCGAATTATGTAAAGGGTACGGAATCCCACCATGAGCGCCTCGCTTTTGTTTTATACTTCGTACATTTAGTTTTATCTCACTGAAATTCCTTGCTAAATAAAATCAACAGATTAATGTCTACGTATTATTTTTAGTACGAATCTTACAAATGACTGGATCCTACAATCTAAATATAAGACTAGCCAAAACATAAAATTTTGACTAGTCTTAACTAGTAAAAATTTTATGTTTTGGTATTTTGTTTGAACGGAAATTTATTCATATATATTATCAAACACTTTCGCGTAAACAATTCTGCAGTCTGCGAGTATGTTGTGGACAAACCTACATATTCAATGAAGTTTGACAAATCCCAGGTCCTTGCAAAAGAAGTCCGTTATCTACCCAGGATGCTGCGAGAGGCCATTGAAATTAAAAAACATCCTAATTTCAACAGGGAAGATGGTTTCTCCGTACCACCAGTTTGGGATCCAGTATTTCCTCTAATAAAAAATCCCAAACAGACATAAGACTGCAGTACTAATTAATGTTTTAATTTATTCTAATTTCTATTCGATTATTAATTAATAATAAATTGTATTTTATCAAATTTCATTCAATAAAATAATTTGTAAAAACGTAATGTAGCGAAAATTGGAATGTTTCTTTTTGAAATTAAAAACAAGGTATTTAATTAATAACTTTTGTAACTATAGTGAAAAAAATAGGATGGTTTGCATTAATATTGGACATAACCGGTTGATGACTGTACCACCTCAGTAAACCGTGACCATGGGACCTGTAAAGACCCGAAATGTCAGTTTGTTTGAAAAAACAAATATACGCGATTTAAATCCGGAAAAATTTCATTTCCTATGTGTAACAATTGCGAAAATGTAAGAACTCGATAAAATTTATTGAACTTCTCAACTTAAATACGATTTATATATAACATTATGAGTGCAAAAGAACGCACACAAACATACACACTCAACATAGGCCCGCACTAGGAAAACTCTGTGTCGCGGGTGCCATGGACACAAACAAAGACAACCAAAAATTACACCCAAATTTATAAGAAATAAAATATTACTCTCGGTCCAAGAATCGAACCTGGGACTTCTGCGTGGCAGTACGGCCGGCATCTAGGTTTAGATACAATTTTCATTCTGACGTTCATTTTTTTTAAAGAATAATGATCAAAACTTACGAGCTAATTTTGCAAATCCACAATTAAAAAGCAGAACGCATAGGAATACACAAACGAATATCACGATCGATTTCATTTTGAATCGATTTTTTTTATTCGGTTTAACTATGTGTGGCTGCGATAGCGCTTCTGACCACAGAGGAACTGATGCAACAACTATATGGAAAGACATTTTGTATTATGAGTTAGGGCTCTGACATTGGCAACAGACAACCGGTTCGGATAGGACTAAACGTTTCATAAAATTTAGATTGTTACGTTAAGTGCTATGTATGTACAGAAAAGCAAATTTCCTCTCTTTGATGAGATATATCAAAAAGAGATTACTTGGGAAATGCAAGTTACTTGATTATCACTAACAAATGCGATTTTAATGTTGACGGCCTTATTTTTTCATCCAAGATTTCCTGTGTTATCGCTTGTGTCTTAGTGAATAAAATATTCACTAAGACACGCGCTTGTTTATTTTGAAATAATATTAGAATGTATGTTTTACGAACACATCATACATTGGACCAGCGTGGCGGATTATGGCCTAAACTCACTCCTCAGAAGAGATCTGTGCCCTGTAGTGGGACGTATAAAGGGTTATCGATAATGATATTTTTACGAAAAGATGAATTACATCACTTTTTCTATTTCCTTATGATCCATATGTTCGATTATTATGATCATCAAAGTCCAAAACTGCTTGAAAACGTATATAGGCTCATATCTGACTCAAGTTTGGTAGAGGCATAGTTCCAAAGCCTTGAACATAGCCACATCGCCGTAAAGTTATCTGTTTATTGGTATTCTACAGGGTATATGAAGGAGAGTGTGCGTTGGAATTACATGATTTAATTCCGCCTTCCACTTTCCATCATCGGGGACTAGACGTAGGCAGGGCTTGCACCTTTGCCCTGGATTTTCCAAGGATTCTTTTACATTTGTATGGTGAACGGCTTTGAAGTGGAGTTCTCCGCCTTTTAGAGGCGAAAATGAATAGGCATTATTTAGGTGTGTATACTCTATCGTCGACTTTATCGTCAGTTTCCATCATGTGAATTCCAGAGCAATGAATGTAACTTTGGGGCACGACCCAGTACACCCAGTCCAAAATTAATTTAGAAAAGATTGAAACAAAAGATCACAAATTGGTCAACCAGGAATCAAACCCGAGACCTCGTCATGTACCGATTACCTAGCTTGTCAGACACGTAACAATGCTAAAGTATCCTATACTTGTTCCTCGTCAAAGTAATTTCTTTTCACGTTAGTTTTTTTTTAAATAAGTGCCCATTTTCACCTTCATTTCACCTGATGGAAAGTAACGATAAGGTCAATTGTAAGGCATGCACACCTAAATAAGCATAATCACTCTCGCCTTCAAAAGGTTTTTTGGATTTGTTTTAGTCTTGTCAGTGGCAGTCAGCCCGAACCGGAGATGGTCAAGCGCCCGGGTTTCAACTCGACGCTTTGTTATGGCTCAAAATCTGTTAATGCCTGAAATCTAGGGCAAAAACGTTTTACTTACCTTAAATTACTTTGTTGTAAATCGAGTTTTGTTCAAATTGTATGATATTATTACAAAATATTTATTGCTTTCTTATCTGTACGATTCGATTTGTTTTTCCTTTCTATTGAATCAATTCGCGTGAAAATCGCACTAAAATAAATCTATACAACAAATCGTAAAATCGTATGCACTGAAATCGATGTTCATAAAAATCGAATGTTAATGTGCATCCTTAGTAGTAGAGAATCCACAGGATTGCAAGTTGGGTATTGTGTGGCGTGTGTTTAACACCTGGCCGGCGCTCTAGGTAGACACCTGGCTAAAACCAGGGCGGGTTGATTGGGTTTTAACCCACTGCCCGTCTCTGGTTTCAAGCTCATTGTACCTGTAACGAGCCCGAAACGTTGGTTTCTTTAAAAAACAAATCTGAAAATATAGATTCATTTCCAATGTGACATAATCGTAAAATCTTATACATTTTTGAACTAAATAATTTCAATTTCTCTAATGATCTTATTAAGTAATTTTAACCTATAAACGATTTTTATTTTAACTATTGTCCAGTCGGAAACTAATAGTCATCACTAACCTATTAAATTCATTAGTTTATTATAATCATTACTACAAAGATCGAACAATAAGAAAAGCTCCTTTGATGCGGTCGGATTCGAACCAGCGCCTTCAACATACCGTATCTGATGCTCTCCCGACAGAGCTACGGAACGAATCAGCAGACCTTATGAAATTTGCTAAGTGCTCATTATATCGCGACCCGCGCGACAATAGCCGCTGTGCGTAAATGACTATGGATTCCCAGCAACTCATAGCCAATGAACTGCTGGCGTTCATCCAACACGCCGTCGACACTATGGACGAGATCAGCATCATGCAGGTCTGCAAATCAAATTTCAAGGAAGAGGACTTTTGCAGTGGCATGGCGGTGCTTTTCCGTATGCTTGGCAAGGCTGAGCAGATGCCACTTCGTCGGAGGGATGGAGGAGCGAAGAGTCTCCAGGACATCATCACATTGTGAAAGGAGACCGACCCAGAAAACGTGCCTGCTTTCGTGGCGAAGGAGCTGCACAAGCTGCCTTTTGTCACGTTCGACCACGTCGACGTCACCAGGCTGCTGAAGGACATCACGTCCCTAAAAGCGAGTCTTGCTGAAGTTCACTGTAAATTGGAGGCCTCGGACAATATCATTAGTGAGTTGCGTGGCAAGTTGCGTTACTGAACAGTGCGGCTTCGGTAAGTAGGTCACCCGAGGCCTGTAACGTGAATACTTGTTGCGGGGCGCAAAACGCATCTATCGGCAGTTTTGAGTCGGCCCATACGTCGCCGACTACTGTCACTACATGCGTTTCCCCGCTCCCCGCCACTCGTTCTTTCGCCCCGGCGGAGAGGTCACGCGTAAGCACGTTGACCCCTTAACGGGACTATGCTGCTGTTGCCGCTGCTAACCGATCCAGTGCTCTACAACCACAATCCAGGCAGTTACCAACAAAGGGGAAGAAAATGAAACGGATACTCATCTCTGGAGATGTATCATCAGTACCACCGAGAATAGTTGAACAGTGCGACGAGGACGGTTTCAAAAAGGTGGAAAGGAAGAAGTACACCAGCCGTAACGTTAGTAGTACCGCCCCGTCTGGCCCTAATCATTTACTGCGTCCAGCGAAACCGACGACGTTGTTATACGTGTCACGGCTTCATTACTCCACAAAGTCCGCTGATATTGTGGAGTACATACGGGTGAAAGCCAATGCTACCCTGAGGGTCGAGCAGTTGGTGTCCCGCCACTATGTAAATTTTAGTTCATTTGTGGTGAGAGTACCAACTAAACATCTGTCGACCTTCATGAAAGATGAGTTTTGGTCGAAGGGGGTCATGTACTGACGTTTCCGAGGCCGGCTATCGGACACCCACGTTGCGTCACATATCGCAGACAATACGTGTAAATAATAATTACTCATTAGTGTTTTTATTGTATTATTATGTATGTTAGTCTATACGGTATGTATTTATGGGTCTTTGTTAACTGAATGCAAATAAATAAATTTAAAAAAATTAAATAAAACTAGATCTTTTTACAGCGCCATCTGTGAGAAATCTATGAAAGTTTTCTTTCAGCCAGGTACCTTTAGAGCTACCAGCGGAAGTTTTCTTAGTGTCTGATGTTAGTATTAATAATTAAAATAAACTAGTGGAGCATTTCACAATAAATAATTGAATACCATGGTAGCAAAACATTGTGATGTATATTATACTGAATGTTACTATTAAATTCACTGTTTGCTAATATAAACGCCCGTTTGTAATTTTTTAAAGCAATTTAGGCATTCCATCATAATACGCAATACTATATGTGATCCGCGAATTTGAAATCAAGCTGAAATAATCTATAATTCAAAGGTAAAAATATTACACTTGAAATCGTCACATTGATTCAACTCTATTACTCATTTGCAAGGAAGATTCCCCTGAGAAGAATGATTAACAAACTCTAGAGGTTGCTCTTTGTAAGTAAACCTTATAGATCGCGACAATATGCAAGAGCTAAGCGGGTCGTTACCATGGATTTTTGTCTTCCAAGTACGCTGAAGCTTTCTAATAACCTTTAATGCACCGCCTTTGTTTGATTATAGTTTTAAACATCGTAAATGGCAAATTTTGGGTTCGTAGCGTCTGAGTCCGGGGTCGGTTTAAAGTTGTAACGGAACCCAAACGAGCCCAAATGGGAGTATCGTGTGATCCCAGGACTGGTTGCTTGTCAAAAATAATTAAGTTTGAGTCGCATCCAGTCCCGGGTTCAGTTGCACCTGGAGAGATGACATTAAATTTGCATCGTCTGAACTCGAAATCATTTTCGATAGATGTTGGTACATTTTGTTGCTTTAAGGGGTGATGAGCTTGTTTCTGAGCACTATTCCGATGAAATAATTTTAGCAACTTTATTGCAACTTTAAACTGAGCCCGGGTTCAGATGCTACAAACCCCAAATTTTAAATATCAACCGGAATGTTAATATAGAAGCGTATACGTTGCCCTTTAAACGTTTACTTTGCCCCGGGTGTCGTCAATGGGTGTCGTCAATTGTTTCACTTCAAATTGACGAGTTAACTTGAGCTTTGCTATAATGGACGAAAATAACAAAATTACATATTTAATATTTAATTGTCGATGAAATGTGATTCCGTTTGTTTTGTAATTAGATGTGTTTTTCCCACACCACAGCATTGTTAGAGATATTATCTTTATTACAATAAATACAGAATATTTTTTGGAATATGCGGAGACGTACACACAGGTCAGTAGTTGGCCTGTCTATATTTCAGTGGAAACGAGAGTTGATATTTATAAGAGCTGTATCGCTAATGTGTTACCAATAATATATGGCCTTATTTCTGGTTATATACTCGATGATAACCAGTAACCACCTATAATTAGAAAGAAATGAAGTAACATCGTGACATTGACATTCTTATTCATTTTAATAATTATGTGGTCAGTGAGAGTTAAACGGTTTCATAAGATAGATAACATTGAGAGGTTTTGAACCTTAATTCGTATTGTCATTAATTTACTTGCTTAGTAAGTAAGTAAATAAATAATTCAATATCATGGCAACATTAATGAGGCGGTG